CCGCCCTTCACCCCACCCCCACCCCCAGCCCTGTTTTACAGAAAGTTCGTCTCGTTATGCAAGTGGTAGATAAACCAACTCTCATCCGTTTTCGATGAGAAAATCTTTTCTGAATGTTCAATTCTTCAATTTGTTTCTTACTTTCTTCTAAATGGTATTCTTTACCTTTGTTTACCTCTTTAAATCCAATCACGTGGATAAGCTGTCATGTTCCTTCCTTGGCATTTTATCCAGATATTATCAACTTACAATTTGCATATTGTGAGAAACTGAGTGTCAAGTATTAAATAATGCACAACTTTGTGTCACAATTTTTGGCAGATTCTTCATAATATTTTAGGTGGCTCTCCCTACTAGGCAATAGAGATTGTAATCAATTAATCAAATAGAATCATTTGGTCAACCAAGGCCACGAGACTTTTAAAAAGAAGAGATCAAATTTGTGCAGGTGTCAAGAATCTTGAAGTAGATCACATGGACAATTCTCCTCAACCATATTGCACCATAACATCATATTCATCTTTGAGATTCCTTTCACAGACAATCTATGACCGCAAAAACAGAGCTAAGTTGAGCAATGAAAAGAAAGGCAAAGCTCCAAACCTTAGATATGGTTAACGCTGGACTCCACTGCTCTTTTAGAATATCCAGACAAATACTTCCATTGCTATTGATGTTAGGGTGGAAAACCTTAGTTCTAAAGGCAACCTGAAATAATCAAGGGAAAAAAATTAAAATCATACCTCGAAATTTAAATGATATTATCCGGCAATGGAGAAAATTTATTCTTACAATTTCATAAAATGCAGATTGCTTGACGCCAGATTAACTACCACTTTTTTTTATGAAGCAAATTAGCTACCACTTTAACCTGTTCTTAACATTAATGAGACGCCAGCTCCCTAGTACTGATAAAGATACATAGACTTAAAGGAGTAATTGTGCCCATGACTCTAGCACAAGTAGATAAAGAGAATTGATAGAAGGTCAGGAACTTAAAAGAACTCTGCCTTACATCCCACGTGGTGGGAAATATCTGGAGAAGAGCATTGGCTATGGAATGTAAACTCAAGAGCATATACCAATGTAACAAATATCAACAATGCGCGAACACTAACACACACACACTATATACACAAAAAGAATTTGAGAAATAGCCAATTTGAGTTAATTTTCTCAATACATACATGGACACTGCAAATTTTGTCAGACCTACACATAAAAAAGC